ATGTCAATTTAAGGGGTCCGCTCAGTGCCCCATGAAGCAGGACCCCTTTGCGCTTAAATGCAAATGCTGCCTTAGTATGAGGCCATTAATGCCAGTAGACTTTTGGAGGCGGTACGGTTACTACGATGTGCAAAGTAGAACCAACTTACTGACATTCAACTTCTCAAACTGACTTGTTCGTTCACTTTCTTTAGTCTTAGCATGACATGCTATAGAACATGCGGTATGTCAGCAGTAAGGAAAAGTCTAATTGATAAGGAGATTCTGTTAGCTATGAATGATTTATATTAATATTAACCAGGACATGCATGTTTGCTTAGGTATCGGACCTTGGGATGCTAATTATTCAGAACAAACCTTTCCAACTACGTCTGAAGCGCTGAACAGCAAGAACCGCCGCCTGGGAAAGTTACGTCGACTGTTTTATGCCAGATACGGTTCGCATAAAATATATACAGGAAATCAATATCCTATGATGATTTTTGCTGCGAAGGCGCTGTGTATATACATCATGTGTCACATTCACGGAGTGCCCAACGTCTTAAAATGTTTTTTTTACTCAGTATCCTGCCTAAATGTACCGACAAAGCTTTCAGATTAATCGTAAATGAATTTCATTAAAGCGAGAATATAGCTAAATTGGTTGATAAAAACGAAGTTGGGTAGGAGTTATACCTTTTTAAGAAAACAGCGCTGCTCAAAACGCGGGACTCGTGCCGACTGAATAAGTTCAGTCTTTTCCAGTGCACAATACAAGCCCAGCTAATAAACGTGCGCATAAAAAGACCTTTAAAAATCATTTTAAAAACGTTCTGACTACATCTTTTCCAAGACTTCGCTTAATAAGCGGTATGGCGACCAGTCCACCGTCTGATATCAAGCAGTGTTTTCAAAATGGCATTCAACAATTTAGCTGAAAGTCTTTCTGTTTCACACCGTCCGACGGGAAGTTGGTCGGAACGCAACTGATTCTGTTTAATTACTGGTTGCGAAAGATGTGCAAATAATGGATTTAACAGTGTTTCCTATCGAGGGGCTGAGTAGTTACTAAAGGGTGTGATTTAAACCAGCAGATGTTATCATTTTTATGCTCCTTTGGAGCACAATTCCTGTTTTCAGATGACGGCAGACCCACGAGTTCCCATAGTGCCCTAAGTGAACAAATTTAGTTTTTTTGTGATTTCCCCTGACATTAACGAAAGCTAAGTTACGCGGTTCATCAGTATCATACCTTTTTGAAATAAGATGAACATCAAACGTTCTATCTTCTAAAATGGCGGCCAGAGCCACATCTGTAGGCTTGCCTACGCGAATCGACATCCGCATCGGAGGCTGGTGATGGCTACGTTCCTGAGCGAAGACGACAACCTAGCTAACAAGCGCTCTTTCAAAGTGTTTTATTGGCGCACTTTGTAGGTGCATGCCCAGCTGCTTCATCGCTGTACGAACAGTGGGTGAAGAAGAACCTTAGATATTTTGTTTGTCAACATAATTCTTTACGTGTCGCTAATTAAAACGTATTTCGTCCCTTTATTTAGAATTTTTTCGCTTGTTTTGCCCAGTTATAGGCAGCATGGTTTATCTGCAGCCTGTTTTCCCTTGACTCTGCACCCCAACGAAACACCGCGCGGAAAATATATAAAATGTTTAACCCCGACTGAACTGCGATAAACCTCTGTTTTAAGCCTGTGACCTCGAGTAGGAATAAGCGTCAGCGGTGGGTTCACGTGATGGTCGTAGTGGTCGCTCACTTGCTTGCAGGTGAGACTACGCCTAGCGTCCATTTGCTGGCAACTAACTCTCACCTGTGGCTCCACGTAGCTGGGCTCTGCTCAGCGGCCACACCCCGGGCAACCGTCTCGACCGGCGGGCTAAACCAGGTTAAGGTATCCGTGCGTGCACCTGCACTCGCGGTACTGTGGTCTACGCTGGCCGGTGGATCTTCCCGTCGACATCGTCCAGGCGAGGCTCTGCCTGGACCATTGCAGGAGGCCACCAGGTAAGTTCTTCCTCAGGTAAGTGCATTTGCTCTGTTTCTTCCTTTGTCTGTTGAAGTTCCGTTACGTATGCTGCTCTTGCTGCCTGCCCTCTGTATGCTAGTCTGTCTGTTAATAGCTAAACGAAACCCTCGCTGCCTTCTGCGACTCTCTGTCTGTCAGTCTATGCCTCTCTCTGCTAATAGCTAGGTGTTACTGTGCTTGACTTTGAGTGGTGCCCTCACTTGTCTCTGACTGATGACTGTGTCCTCTTGTCCACCCTAGCTAGCTGTAAGTCCCATAGCGTTAGGTTGTGTGTATGCTCTCTCCTACTCCACTCCCTCACATCACCATCACCACCAAGGTCCCAGGCTAATTCGGGTCGTTCTCTCACTAACAAAAAGTCGTGGCCCATAGTGAAGTCCGGCAGCCGTCAGGGATACCCGGGCATCCCTGTTCAGGGATGCGTTGCCTGTCCTCGCGAGGGGGAGGTGGCTAGAAAAGGTGCCCTAAAGATCGCTGGGAACCACGCTGTCTGTAGGCTGGCCGTGTCCGCAGACAAAAAACACACGGTCGAAACAGCCAAAACCGAAACAACAACAACAGCAATCACTATCTTCCTCTTCCAGCCTATTCTTCTTCTTCTCCTACTCCTACTTTTCGCCGCCGCAGTCGCCAGACTGGCAGGGTGAGCCCGCTCACTCTGGCAGCCTGGAATGTTCGTTCCCTTTTAGACAATCCGAGGAGCAACCGACCGGAACGGAGGACGGCGCTAGTGGCACGAGAACTGGCGCGCCACAACATGGACATCGCCGCACTCAGTGAGACCAGATTCTCCGAACAAGGCCAACTGGAGGAGGTTTGTGCCGGCTACACCTTCTTCTGGAGCGGTCGACCCAGGGCAGAGCGACGGGACGCGGTTGTCGCCTTCGCCATTCGGAACGACATCGTGGGACGACTGCCCTGTTTGCCGCAGGGCATCAACGATCGCCTGATGAGCCTCCGCCTGCCTCTCTGGGGAGGCAAATTCGCCACCATTATCAGCGCCTACGCTCCGACGATGACCAACCCCGACGCCGTCAGAGACAAATTCTACGAGGACCTGCACACCCTCTTGGCGACTGTTTCGAAGGCGGACAAGTTGATTGTCCTTGGTGACTTCAACGCCCGCGTCGGCACAGACCATACTGCCTGGAGAGGAGTGCTGGGTCCCCACGGTCTCCGCGGCTCAAACGACAATGGTCTGCTGCTTCTCCGCACCTGCGCAGAACACCGCCTCATTCTGACGAACACGTTCTTCTGTCTGCCGGAGCGAGAGAAGGCCACCTGGAGGCATCCTCCGTCGCGCCAGTGGCACCTGCTGAACTATGTCCTCGTTCGGAGGCGAGATCAGTGGGACGTGCTGGTGATAAAGAAGATCGAGGGTGCTGACGGGTGGACCGACCATCGCCTCGTCATCTCGAAGATGCGTATTCGCCTACAGCCTCGCAGGAGACCACAAGGTAAGCGATCCCCAGGTAAGCTGAATGTTGCCTTGTTGTCTTTGCCCGCTCACCATCTTCATTTCAGCAATGAGCTAGCTCAACGTCTAGACAACCTTCCTATCGCTGCCGCCGCCGACGACGCCGCCACCGCCGCTGCCGAGAACGCCTCCGTGGAGAACCGCTGGTGTCAACTGCGGACACGGCCCAGTCGACGGCGCTCGCCGTCCTCGGTCGCGCTCCCCGCCAACACCAGGACTGGTTCGACGACAATGACGCCGCCATCAGAAATCTGCTTGCTGAGAAGAACCGCCTACACAAAGCCTACGTAGATCACCCCACTGATGCCACCAAAGCTGCCTTCTACCGCGGTCGCCGCCAACTTCAACAACGACTGCGCGAGATGCAGGACGCCTGGACTGCTCGCAAAGCTGAGGAGATCCAAGGGTACGCGGACTGCAACGAATGGAAAAACTTCTTCTCTGCGATCAAAGATGTCTACGGTCCGCCGACGAAGGGCACTGCTCCTCTCCTCGGCGCCGACGGCAACACTCTCCTGACTGAGAAGACGCAAATCCTGCAGCGATGGGCCGAGCATTTCCGAGGCGTCCTCAACCGCCCCTCCGTCATCTCCGACGCCGCCATCGAGCGTTTGCATCAAGTGGAGACCAACGTGGGCCTCGACCTCCCGCCATCTCTCCAGGAGACCATCAGGGCCGTGCAGCAGCTCTCCAGCGGGAAAGCACCCGGATCGGACGCAATCCCTGCTGAGGTCTACAAGCACGGAGGTCCCCAACTGATGGATCACCTGACTGCGTTCTTCCAGGAGATGTGGCGTCAAGGTGAAGTCCCGCAAGATTTCAAAGACGCAACCATCGTGCATCTCTACAAGCGCAAAGGGAATCGCCAAGTCTGCGACAATCACCGCGGCATCTCCCTGCTGAACATCGCCGGGAAGATTTTCGCACGAATCCTCCTCAACCGCCTCAATAACCATTTGGAACAGGGTCTGCTGCCGGAAAGCCAATGCGGCTTCCGTCATCATCGTGGGACCACGGATATGATCTTCGCCGCCCGTCAACTTCAGGAGAAGTGTCAGGAGATGCGGACCCACCTGTACTTTACCTTCGTGGACCTGACTAAAGCCTTCGACACGGTGTATCGTAAAGGACTGTGGAAGATCATGCAGAAATTCGGCTGTCCGGGGCGATTCACTCAGATGGTGCGCCAGCTGCACAACGGTATGATGGCGCGATTCACGGACAACGGAGCTGTCTCAGAGGCATTCGCAGTGACCAATGGAGTGAAGCAGGGATGGGTGCTGGCGCCTACCCTCTTCAGTCTCATGTTCTCTGCCATGCTGATGGACGCCTACCGCGACGAACGCCCCGGGATCTGCATCGCCTACAGGACGGACGGTCACCTTATGAATCAACGGCGGATGCACTTCTAATCGCGCGTATCCACAACCACCGTTCACGAACTCCTCTTCGCCGACGACTGCGCCCTAAAAACCACCTCGGAAAAGGAGATGCAACGGAGCATGGACCTGTTCTCCGCCGCCTGCGAGAACTTTGGGCTGGTCATTAACACGCAGAAGACGGTGGTGATGCACCAACCGCCACCCAACTCAGCCACAGCCCCCAACGCGCCGCCGCAAATCAGCGTGAACGGAACCCAACTGCAGGTGGTGGAGAACTTCCCGTACCTGGGCAGTACTCTCTCCCGCAACACCAAGATCGACGACGAAGTCGCCAACAGGATCTCGAAAGCCAGTCAAGCCTTCGGTCGCCTCCAAAGCTCAGTTTGGAATCGCCACGGTCTTCAGCTGAGCACGAAGCTAAAGATGTACAAGGCCGTCATCCTACCGACACTACTGTATGGAGCGGAGACTTGGACGGTGTACGCAAAGCAGGCACGTCGTCTGAACCACTTCCACCTCAGTTGACTTCGTCGCATCCTGAGGCTAAAGGGGCAGGATCGAATACCCGACACTGATGTGCTGGAACGAACGGGAATCCTCAGCATCTACGCCATACTGAGACAAATACAGCTGCGCTGGAGCGGCCACCTGGTACGCATGGACGACGAGCGACTACCCAATCGACTCTTCTACGGAGACGTCGCGACGAGTTCTCGCCGTCAAGGAGGCCAGATTCGCCGTTACAAGGATACCCTGAAGTCCTCCCTGAAATGCCTGCAAATCAACCCCATCAACTGGGAGGAGCTCGCACTCGATCGACCGACCTAGAGGAGGACAGTGAAGACAGGCGCTGCGATCTACGAGGCCAACCGCATCGCTGCCGCCAAAGTGAAACGTGAAGACCTCAAATCACAACTTCGCCTAGTAAGCAACGCCGCCACACAACCGCTTCCAACGTGTCCTCGATGTCAACGGACATTCCGGGCTCGAATCGGACTTGTTGGACATCTTCGGATTAACTGCGCCTCTCGAACGGCACCAACCATCGTCCCCCCGCCTGCCTCTTCCTCCTCCTCTCTGCCGCCAACTAACCCTGACAATTCTTCTGACTCACCACCTCCATCATCCTCCTCCACCTCCTCCTCCTCCTTCTTCTTCTTCTTCTTCTCCTCCTCCTTGCCCACTGCTCCAACGGCGGCCGCTCAGGCGACTGTCCCGCGCACAGCAACCGACACTACCACCACCTCCCCCGACGCCAGGGATGAGGATCAGGACTGCACCTGCCCTCACTGCGACCGTACCTTCACCTCACACATCGGCCTGGTCGGTCACTTGCGAATCCATCGCACAGAGACTGGCGAACCAGTGCCTGGAGCACCCACCTATACCCACCAAGCTCGTCTCAACTGCCCACACTGTCCTCGCACTTTCAGGCGTCGTATGGGCCTATTTGGCCACATGCGCATCCACGACGACCTGCGGTAGACAACCGCCGGCCACACCACACATTTACTCACTCCCTACCTCCTCCTCCACCACTACCATCACCCCACCAGAAATCAACACTCACACACCTCATGCACCCAACTGCCACCTCCACATCTCGACTCGGTCCCCATGCGGCTTCCGCTGCCCGGGTGACTTGAGCCCGAGACTATCCCGACACGTCAAGCGTCGTGGATAGGAAGGTTGCTGATTAACGCCCGCTCTCGGTTCACGCAGTTCGTCGCGTTGTGTGTGTGTTGTGTGGAGTGGCGGACTGGTGGGCTGGGAACGGGCTGAAACAGCACCTTCCACGGCACTCTCACGCAAGTGAGTGACACGCCGTTCAACCCCCGCTGTGTGAAATCCTGGTGTTGTGTGTATGGGAAGCCAGGTCGTGCCGTGGCGCGCGCAGTCATGGTCAGTCGACCATGACAGCCACCGCGTCCATTCCCCACTCCATTCTGCTGACCGGCTCGGACAGCGGCTGGGGTGTAAGAGTGGGAAGGGAGAGTGAGGTCGACGACTCAGCGCACTTCCTCCTCACTATAAACAATCTGACGCGCTTGAAGCTATCACGGTGCGCTAAAAGCCGCGGCTTGGAAGGTTGCCAACTGACGGGGTAACTTGGACCTCCTCCTTGACCGGAAGCGGTCTGAGAGTCAGGCTGCAATGGCTCCTTTTTAATGTGGCCTTTATGGCACTCCCACCACAGTGTGGGATCCCAGCCAGGCGTTGGCGGCACGCCCAGGTGCGGCTTCGGCCGTGACAGCCTCCAAATTTCTTTCGCGTTGGTTGAAATCCTGGTTATTTTTTGTGTGGACCAGGGAGTGTGGTGGAACGCCAAGGTGAGGATCCGTCCTAGCCATCCACCTGCGGCCTCTCTCGTCTCCGGTCTTCTTGACTCTGTCTTGACACCGGGCTCGGGCGAGGGAGGAGGAGAGAGTGTAGTTAGATGCTACGCTAGTCTATCGGCACTATAAACCCCTGCGTAAGTCACTGTCCCTGCTCCCATTGCTGCTGCAACAGTGGGGCACACGGTGGATATCACCGAAACCGATGGTCGAACTGTCATTTAAATTCTGGAATATATTTCAAACAATTAGCACTGTAAATGCACTATTTTTAACGTGCGCTTTAAAGGTATGTTGTTATATGTTCAAGTTGTTGGTGAGCCTTTTGCGGTTACTTATGGAGTATTTGTTTATAGCTCAAAACTAGGTGTGTTATAAAACAAAAGTCACCTTTTCACTATTGCACTGTTTCATGGCACAGCAGTACAAAGATTTGCGAATCAGAAAACCTTTAAAGATAACGTTTTGCTCATGAAAAACAACATCCCCTAGAGTGATTCGGACAATACTTCTAGTTATTAAACATAAAACACTTCCCTCGAGCATCTTTTAACCTACGGACTAAGTTCGGCAATCGTAGTTCATTGCAGTATATGCCTTTTTCTTTTATGCATATAAAACACTTATTGGACAGTTTTATTATCCCCTCATGGTAACTGGATTTATCTTCATACTTAAACACTTAAGCGCCACCCAAACATATGAGGCTGCATATTAGGGGTGACTCTGTACACTCCGTCCCCTTGGCAGTAAGCGCATGTGCCTCAGTATATGCAATCTGAGGCACCTCAAAAAACCCCGGCGGCTCTGAAGGGTAAGAACTGACGGAATAACTCGTGTTCCTCAAAACTGCGAGACTCAGACTGGAATGGTTTCTCAGTGCGACCTTCCTGGCCTCAACATGTGGTTGCAATCTAGGCCGCCGCCCTGTTACTTACTGATGAAATGCCGACCGAAATTCCGAAATGCGTTTTTGTTTCGAAAAGATTAATTAAGAAGGGTTGTAAGGCTAGTCAACCTGCAGCATAATTCTATAATATTTCAGTTGCCTCAGGATGCTGGCTTTTGAAGAAACTCCCTTCCGGTTACATACGAAAACTACACTGCGTAAAAACTGACTGCTCATATAGCATGAATTTTTCCCATCAATTTTCGGTGTACCTAAAAGTCCAATTAGATTTCATGGAAAACGTGCATAAAAATATCCATTCTTTTGTTCATTCGACAGATAATTACGTCTTTTTCTAATTTTATACTCGAAGGAGTGACATAATTCGGTTTTTAAGAAGTTTTCTATTATCCGATTAGTTTTCAGTCAGTATCAGTCAGTATATTTGGAGTAGACGACAGAAGCCCTGAAAACTCCATTCAGAGGGTAGAGATGTAAGGGAAAATAGTTCAATTGCGAAACTTTTGCTTGCAGTTTTGGTAAAAGGAGAATTCATAAATCTAATAATGTAACATAAAGGCGAAAGATGCATGGTATTCGGGAAATAATTGCAAAGAACTTTGTTCACCGCGATGGGACTGTGAGAATTTCCATACGCGCCATCTTTGGCGCACAAAAAAGCATCTGCTGAAATCCTGTTAGTAGTATATTTAGAGTCATCTCGGTAATCCATTATAGCTAGCTTCGGCAGTTTGGGTTGCCTCTTGGCAGCTGGGCATCCAGTTTTCTCTTGAACACGTTCAAGGTAGGGGAATTTACAACATACTCCGTCAAAGAGTTCCATTGGCGAATGACCCTCTGTGAGAAAAAGGAGGAACGTTGATTTGTGTTGCACAGTGCCTGAGATTAGACTTGGGTGCCACTTCAAAAAACGTTTCCCAGTTGACATCCAGTTTAATTCCTTTTACCAACTGGAACTTTGCTATGAGGTCACTTCTGTCCTGCCTGTAGTGGAGGGGATAGAGGTTCAAGGCCGTGAGGCGCTGATCGTACGTGAAATTTTTGAGGCCATGAACAGCCTTTGTAGCACGCCGTTGTACACCTTTAAGGATATCAATATCCTTCCGAAGCCACGGCCGCCAAGTCTGTACCGCATATTCCAGGTGCGGCCGCACAAATGGCCGTATACTTTGCCAAATACATCTTTATTCAAGTGAATAAACGTTCTTCGTATCGCGCTCATAACTGACATTGCCCGCGCAGCGACTTTAGAACACTGCGTGTTGACCCTTAGATTGTCTTTAATGAATACACCAAGATCTTTTTGCAAATCTACGGTTTAAAGTGGTTTGTTGTCCAGGAGATACTGTCGTGAGGGTGAATTTGTTCTTCGCCTCGCTGATATTACGTGCATTACTGCACATTTTTGACGTCAAAATTCCATGCACCATTTCTCGCTCCATGCGTGCAAATTCTCTACGTTCTCTTGTAGTATCTTGACGTCTTCTTCATCTCTTATCGCTTTCCAAAGTTTAAGATTGTCTGCAAAGAGCGCTATGTCTGATTTCACTTCCCGTCCTAGGTCATTTACATAGATAATGAATAGGAGCGGCCCGAGAACTGACCCTTGTGGGACTCCACTCGTAACAGATGCCCATTCTGAGCGGTAGCCACCCGCAGTGACTTTTGTCATCGAGCGTTTAGGAACTCTTGAATCCAGTTCAGAAGATTTCCTTTTACCCCTAATTCTGACCAATTTTGAATGAGGCGCTTATGTCGGACGCAATCGAACGCCTTGCTGAAAACGAAGTAAATGACATCGACTGGATGTCCGTCATCCATGGCCTTTGACCAATGCTCAAGTGAAGAAAGCAGGTTTGTGAGGTAGGACTTCTTTTTGCAGAAGCCATGTTGAACTGAAGTGATGTGACAGCGGAATGTATTGAATGATGTAATAGATTTTTTAACTGACTGTTCCATTAGTTTGCAGCAAATGCATGTCAGACACACTGGTCGGTAGCTGGTGGGACATAGCCGTGATCCTGCCCTGTGGATAGGTACGACGTTTGCCAACTTCCAGGTGTCAGGTACTTTGCCAGCTTCCAGTAATTTTTGAAAGATTATGGAAAGTGGCTCTGCTAATTCTTCAGCTAGCTGACGTAGGATTACACCTGGGATCTCGTCTGGTCCAGGTGACTTGACCGGGTCCAGCTTATATAGCTCTGCTAAACCTAACTGCGGAGTAAAAAATACTGTTCTTATAAGTAGTTGGTTAGCGAGCAATGGAAAAGAACAGAACTGGAGGGGTGGTTCCGTGGTGTAGACACTTTGAAAAAACTCGGAAAGAAGCTCGGCTTTTGAAAGCTATCGCTCACAATTCGCTTATTTTTGTCCTTTAAGGTTTGCAGATGGTTCCGATTTTTCGGATTGCTCCTGACATATGCGTAGAACGCTTTAGGGTTTTGCTGCGCCTGTTCCAGGAGCTTCAGTTCATAAGAAGCTCGTACTTCTCTGATAAGTTTTTTTGCAAAAGGTTCGTTGTTGTCTGAATTCCTGAAGTTTTTCTGGGCTCTCCGTTTGTAAGAAGATTTTCCACAGCTTGCGTTTATTCGGATTTCCTTCTTAACCGATGTCGTCAGCCATTTCAGTTTATCTCCAGTTGGATGTTTCTTGAGGGGACAGTATCGTTCAATCAAGCCTCTCATAGTTGATTGGAAGGTTGTCCAACACTCGTTGACATCTCCTCGTATTGCTTCCGTTTATAGTGTGTGTCCAATCTCTGATTTCATTGCCTCAAAGTTACCCCGCCAGACATTTCTTAAGGACTCTGAGCTTCGTTCGGGGACAGCTACGAGTGTGGACTCCCACATTAATGTCATGTGGTCACAAGAACCTAGGGGCGGGCCTACATTTATTTCATCAACGCTTTCCTCGTTCTTGGTAAGCACAAGGTCTAGGCAACTAGCTCTCTGACCTTTACGTATCCCGCTCTACCGTCACACATGTATTCAGGGTTTCCAAACTACAAACCGTATATTTTTCACGTACGAAAAATCACAAATTTCTCTACGGTAAAAGGGGGACCATATAGAGTTCATAAAATTAAACATTGGATTTGATCCACATTGTTTACTTTACAAGCCACATTGGTAAATGCAGAGGTATGACGATTTATGAACGGACATTTCACGGTAGTTAAAACTTCCACAATTGTAAACTTCTTAAAACCGAATTATGTCACTCCTTTGAGATAACATTAG